GGACGAGGACGGGGGCAGCTGCTAGTGTTGTCGCGACTGCAGGCCCAGCGAGGGCGCTTGGGCCTGCTGCCTTGCAGCTGCACGGTCGGTCTCGGGGCCTGCGTCCTGGCTGAGCAATAAGCTGGCGCATGAAGCTCTGGGCAGGATTGGATCCGAGCCCGGCCGCCACTGACGCCACCGCGACTCGGCCTCAGCACAAGGGGCCCACCTCCTCCTTCTTGGCCTTGTCCTTCTTCTTCTTCTCGCCCTTGGCACCACTCGAGGCTGCGGAGGCCTCGCTGCCCTCGATGGACAGCTTGCTCTGCGGGGGCCCACGGGATGGCGCCGCGATCGGCGGCTTTCGGTGCCCTGGGAGTGGGGGTGCTGCTCAAGCTGCATGCGCATGCCCGCCGGCATGCCCGCACTCTTGGGCTGATTGCAAGGCGCGGATCGCACCTCAAGCTCCGCCGCTGCTTTTTCAGCCACCTCGGTGGCCATGCTGTCGGCTGGGTGGGTTCTTAGAAGGCCCGAAAGCTGGCCCTGATCTAGCGGCGCCACTGACGTGTCGAGTAAGCGGTTTGGATGGTGTGTATAATGAGGGGATACGATTGGTTGCAGATGAGAGTGCGTGGTACGCCTCAAGCAGTAATGTAGCAGTCAGAAGCAGGTGACTGCAGCGTTGCCACGGTGCGGTGCGCCCGTTTGGTTGCATGTGTATTTGTGCTATCTACACGTGGCGATTCGAATCGGATTGCCTGACACATTGCGAGGGACACCGCCAGTCAGTGGCCGCGCACGCGCACACACACATCGCTTATCTTCGCCGTCTACAAGAAGGCACCCCAGCCAGGCCATTGCATAGCGTACCTTCCAAAATGCACAGCCATAGCGCGCACGCCCAGCGCGGTGCCGCGGCGCGTGGCGGCCGCTGCCTCGCTGCAGCGATTGGCACCCGCCGCGCCACCGCCGCCGCCGGCGTGGCCCCGGGCCCCGCCCGCGGCGCGGCCCTGCGCGCGGCCGCGCCGGAGGTATCCCTGCCGCCGCACCTCGCCGCGGAGCTAGATGAGATTGAGAGGTCTGCCGCGTGCGGCGTGGAGGGGACCGTGCTGGTGCGGCCGGTCAAGGAGGGGGTGGCCAAGAACGGCAAGAGGTTCCACATCCACACCTTTGGCTGCCAGGTGAGCGGCACAAGCCACAGAGGGCGGCGGCAGCTGCGGAACGGGCTTGTCTTTGAGAGTGTTGAACGATTTGCAGCTGTGGGCGCCGAGCCGCGCAGGGCCGCCGTCGCCGCCCGCAAGCGGCCCCGCCGTTTTGCCACCGAAACAGCCCGCCTCCAGCCGTAGCGACGACAAACGAACGCACGCGCCTGCATTTCGCCAGATGAACCTGGCAGACTCGGAGCGCATGGCGGGCGTGCTGGAGGCCGCCGGGTATGACTGCGCGGCCGACCCCTCTGACGCGGACGTTCTGGTATACAACACGTGCTCCATCCGCGAGAAGGCGGAGGTCAAGGTCTACTCGGCTCTGGGCAAGCAGGCACGCATCCGCTCGCGGTTGATGTCGACGTTGATGTCGTCTGGTTGCTCGGCTGGTCTTTTGCAGGGGCGGTTGCGTTTTTTCGGCCGCTGGAGCGGGCACGCACCTGGGAAGTGGAGGGAGGGGTGTGTGGGTGCGGAGGGTGGGGGTCCAGGCGTGGTAGTGTGCAAATCGTGTGTCGTCAGGGGGTGGGTTTGAGGTCAAAGTGTGCCCTGCGCGGGGACAGCAGGTGCATGGCTGCGAGTGACTGCGGGCGTCGACGTGCGCAGGTTGCCCTATGCACAGCGGCAGCCTCCGTGGCCGGAGCCGCTGCGGCGCCGCACGCACGTGAGCTGAGCGGTTTTCAATTTCATGTGGACTCTTCATTTTTTTGGCCTGCTGGGATGCCACACGCGTCATGCTTACCGCGCCACCCCCGTCCCGCGCCACCCCAGGCCAAGCGCAAGCGCGAGCGCATGGGGGACATGCGCATCGTGGTGGCGGGGTGCGTGGCGCAGCAGGAGGGCCAGGCGCTGCTGAGGCGGGTGCCGGAGGTCGACCTCGTCATGGGTGAGTCATCCACTTTGCGGCGTAAAGAATTTAATCCATGCCCCGTGATGACGGTCAACGGCGGCTGTGCTCATCAGGAGGCTGGCGAGAGCCGATGCGGTCTTGGGCCTGCATGGCTCCCCGGGGAGTGTGCAGCGGGCTGGCGCCCCCCACTGTCTCTTACCTGCTAACCGCGTCCCTGACGGCTTCCCCGACCGCCTGCCCGACCGCCTCCCCACCCACCTCCCCACCTGCCTGCACAACCGCCTCCCCAACCGCCAGGCCCCCAGTTTGCCAACAAGCTTGACGAGCTGCTGGAGAGGGTGGACAACTCGGGGGCGCAGGTGGGGTGAGGGGATGGTTGTGGGTGGATGGGCCAGAGTTTCCGGGGAAAGGGACGACACGCGTGTGGGTGTGGGTGCAGGTGCGGGTGTGGGTATGGCGGCGCTCCCCAGCAGGGAAGCAGGGCGAGGCGGGTGGGGCTGCGGGCGCAATTCAGGGGGAGCAGCTGGGGCTCCTGCACGAGCTGCTTTCGCGCCCGACGCTGTGCTTTGGTGCAGAATCGCAACACCACCATTGCGTCGCCCCAGCATCACACTGTTGTGGGCCTCATCACCCCGACAGGTGCTGGCCACTGAGCAGATCGCCATTGAGGAGGACATCACCACGCCGCGCCGCGACAGCGCTTTGACCGCGTGGGTCAACGTGATCTACGGCTGCAACGAGAAGTGCACCTACTGCGTGGTGCCCAACACGCGCGGCCAGGAGCAGAGCCGGCGGCCGGAGGACATCCGGCGCGAGATGGTCACACTCGGGGAGGCAGGTGGGTGGCTGCTGGTTCTTGGCTTGCGCGGTTGTGTCCAAGCAGAGCACGGCGCAGGGGGTGTTAGGTGCAGGAAGTGGATTGGCAGCTGGGTTGGGGAGCAGGCAAAAGCAGGGGTGGGCGACTCAGCGGACTGTTGAGGAACGGGGGGGTGGTCGGACTAGGATGTTGTGAGCTCGTGTGCTGATGGGGCGAAGGAAGGGAGGCACGGGAGGGCAGCAAGTGGTGTGCCGCGCTGTTTGGCTGGGAGAGACACCCGTGCGCGATTGCGGTTTGGGGAGCCCTGCCCAGCCGTTTCCCTTCGACTAGCTGCGCGCAGGGGGGGGCC